ATGGCGAACACGCCTGAAACGTTGTCTGGAGATTGGTAGGGCAGTGCAAAGTGGAGCGAGAGGGTGTCCCTGGCCGATGAGGAGACTGTGGCTGCAACAATGTCTCCTACGAAGTGGTAGAGAAGAGCGAGAGGGTCGTGGTAGGGCACGAGCTCAAAGTACGCGTGCAGGCTGTATGCAAGAGCAGTCGAGTGCGATGCATGAGTGACGGCTGACTCGGGGCTTCGATCGCTTCGATCACTCACCTGTTGACGCCTCTGCGTCCAGTAGCGAACAAGAGCGCATCGCCAGCTCCGTTCCACACCAGGTGCTCCTCCCCATCGCTCGCTCCAATTTCTGTACCCTTTCCTACCACTGCGAACTCATCAGCTAGCATGGGCACAGCCACATTAGCCCATGTCTTGGCCATCGCTTGATTCCGAGCTTTGCCCAGCAGGTGCAAGAAGATGTAAAGCGCAACGAGGAGCAAGAGGGAAGCTTCCACTTTGTAGTCGATGGGTCGGACGGTGTAGTTCTGAGACCAGACTGGGAAAGTGTAGTTGCTCGTGTACCACGTCTTTGCGTCTAGGACGTCGGCGACGCTGCTGCTACCACCACTGCCACTGCCTCCCAGTCCAAACGGCAGCTCGACCGCTAAGAACGGTGGGGCGCAATGGAATCAGACATCTCGAACCTGCTTGGCGTTGCTCTGTACTCTGCTCCGACTCACCGGCCGCACCAGTGACGAGCAGCGCGACGGCGCATACGACCCTAGCAGCTTGGCGCATCATCCCGTTCTCAAGGCACACGGGTCGGAGAGAGTGATCTGCGGAGAGTGGATGTCCGCGGAAAGAAGGCGGTCGCGTATTGGATGATGACTTGATGACCTCGAACGCGCGTTTGAGAAGATTCTTGATGTACGGTCAGCGTATCGAGGCAGACTCGTGCGTGCCTGAGCGGATAGTCGAACAAGCTAATCACGAATGAGGGTAAAAGGTGGCGCGAGCGCACCCATGCAGAGAGATCCCGCTGGACACGTGGCTGCCAAGCAGGGCAAGAGGCCATCGATCGCGACTCCATTCGTGATTTATCATGCAGGTGCAGATTCACCATTCACGATTGATTGCAGCAGGCAGCACCTCTACTCACGACTGTATAGCGGATAGCTTGATGGCAGCAGCCCATTATTCACGCCTACAGCGTGCGCTGCTCTGCGCGGGGCGCGAGAATCGCAACGCGCGACGGACGGTACGGTAAATCCGCGGAGGAGCGTCCTGTCTGGCTAGCGCGGCGCGCATTTCATGCTGCTGATGCTTGAACAGGGGTCAAGGGGTCAACTCAATCGCCGTCACCATCACGCAGCAGTTAAGCGCGCGCGGTGAACCAGCAAGCTGAAGATGTGGGCGCGGCGTGCGGACCCTCTGGGTGGACTGAAAACATGCAGGCGAAGCTGCGATATGACTGACGACGGCGGTGGTCACCTCCGAGTGCACCGCGCACATCACATTTGGCTCTTCATTTGCAGCTCGCCGCCTCCTCTTTGCTTTCCTCACACACCCCGCTCTGACGACTATTACGACTTACGATTCACCTGGTCAAGCAGCAGGCATACGCGCACCTGCTAGGGGCGCGCATTCTGCAGCACGACATCAACGTTGCGGCCCACTTGACCACCGCCTCCCTCAAGACCTCATCTTGACGCTTCACGACTTTTCTTAACGACTCCCTTCAAGACATTCGACGACATACATTACCAGCATACGATTCTTCCTCGTCGCCGCCTGATCAGTAGCATGCACACCTCACGACCTCGCTCGTCTGCGAGGCCCCACAGCCTAGGCTCCAACGCTGGTAACGGCTTCGTGTATGGCGGAGCAGGCTCGCACGTGGCCTCGAGCCCAGGTCCAGCTTCACCTACCTCTCCCCCTCCCACTGCAGACTTTTCAGCGCACGATGCACGGACGATGACCGATTCGCCCACCGTCGTCATGTCCAACATTGGCTCCATACTGGGTCGACGTCACTCGGCCGCAGCAGGCGCAGACAGGGGCAGTCCGTCGCGTATGAGTGTGGGTGACGACCTTCCTCATATGCCAGCTGCGCCCCCTTCGAGGCAGACCACGCTATCACCCCCCATCAACTATTCTCAGCCGAAGTGGGCTCCTCCCGCTACCATGTCTGCTGCAATAACTAGCGCGCAGGTGGGCTGGGCAGGTGAAGATTACGACTCTGAATACCATAGCGAAAAGGCGGATGCCACCCTTGCGGGATCGCCTCGCGAGACCGCATACACGCAAGCGGATTCCAAGCTGCGAAGACTTAGAGGTCAGAGCGTGTTGCTCGAGAGGGAAGCGGCTCGAGTGCGGGACAAGGGCGTACAGAAGCTTCGAATGAGGTGGAGAGTATTGGCAGGCACCACGGTGCTGCTACTGCTCACACTCAGCGCCTATGTACTCGCCAGGTACATTCTCGCCTTCCTCAACCTCTCACCTGCCACCTTCCTCCTTTCCGACGCTGCCGACGGAACCTCCAACTCTCCGGATCCTCAACTCAGAATGATGGCGCTCATTGCAGTCATTGTCTCGGCCATGAGTACCTCAGGAGTGCTGGCGAGCGGCGTATACCTGCGCTTCTCCAGAAAGACATCTTGCGGAACGTACTTCATTTGGATCACCGCAATTGTCAGCACGACGATGAGCGTTGCCTTGTGCGTCGTCAACCTGGCACTCATTCTTGTCTGGCATCAGCGCTACACATCCGGAGCAGGTGCAGGATCGTCGCTAGCAGCAACGCGCGATGTGGGCCAACGCTGTGCGGGCAATTGGGACATGGACATTCTGTGGTCCGCAGCTGAAAGCTCGCCCATCGCCAAAGTGGATAAGGACAACACCAACTGTTCCAAGGTCCCCGCCCACACTTTGAGAATGTTCCTCATAGCAGCCAGCGTAAGATTGGGATTGTTTGTGCTTTTTAGCGCCTTCTGGATGGCAGCTCTGGGCCGCTACAACACCACACTCAAGTGCAGGAATGCTGCTGATGGTGATCTTCCTTTGCCTGAGCAAGAGAGCGCTGAAATGCATCGACTTTTGCAGCTTGAGCACGCTGAGGACCAAAGGACTCTCGAGTCGGTCCCTGGCGCATGGAAGGGCAGCGTTCGGGCCGGCAATACTGCGCGAGGAGGTGGCTTCAAATCAGCCAAGTTTGGCTACGATGAAGAGACGCTACGAGGAGCCGCGCCATCGCCTTCTGACTTCAAAGAGATTCGGAAGGCTCCAATCATCCACACTTATGGGGACGGTGGCCTCGTCGGCGAAGCGGACGATGATGAGCTGGAACCTGGAGAGGAGATCTTTGCCGAAAAGGACATTGTAGGCGGACCTTCTCACCGGGGCGCCGGGCACGTCGTATTTCCGGAGCCTGAGACGCTCGCTCCACCTAAATTGCAACGCTTTGCATGGCAGCGTGAAAGGTCACGCTCAGGGTACGAGCCTGCTGGTGCTGTGGAGATCTATGGCAACATGGCACCTCGTCGCGAAGATGACGACCCCAGCGCTTTCGGTCATGGCCATGGGAAAGAGTCTAGTGCCGGTGGCTGGGGAGCAGGCATGCTCGGCCGAGTTTGGGACTCGTTCTGGGCCACGCCTGCCGTCCAAGATGCGAGCGAACATCCACACGATCTCACTCGCACACCTGCACAGACCTACCGAGACTCCTTCGTGACTCAGTACGACCGTCATGCTGATGTGCCGCACTCCGCGCAAATGGAGCAATTCGACCAACGCAAGCAAGACACCATGACGCCTGCAGATCACTTGTCAACATATCACGATCGGGGACCTTCCAAGCTGGGCATTAGCGGATGGTTCCGCCGAGACGCGAGTCAAGGGAGTGCCGGAGTAGAAGAGGGTGCTCAAGACGTGGGAACTTTCCCTTCAAGTCGCGAGCAGCCTCTTGCGCCAACAAAGCATGCCCGCACCCCTTCGCAAGAACGACGTGCGTCACAGGCTCGTCATGCTGCTGCGGCGCGTTTGGCAGTCTTGGATTCCTCGCGCGAGGGTGCAACAGCGCTCAGTCCACGCTCTCGATCTCGCTCTGAACTGCGCGCTCGCGAAGAACAAGCAAGTTGGAATCAACAGCGCCGCAAAACCAGCCCATCTCCGTCACGAGGTGCCCACGATGCGTCTGGACCCACTTCGTCAAGGCGTTCCAGCTCATCTCTAGGCGACGAGCTGCCGCACATGCCCAGCCTCATGCATTTGCCTGCCCAGCCGACTTCTCGCGCATCGCAGCAGCCCAACCTCACCGCCCACCAGCCCTCTTCGACCCCTTCTTCCGAGCGGTCGTCGGAAGAATTCGCGGGCTACAAGTCCAACGATCCCGCTTTCATGCAGAGACGCGGGTACGGAAGCGGAGTGGACGGATACTCGAGCGCTGAAGATGATTATGGATCCGATCAAGGCCATGGCTACGGCTTTGGGCACCCTCATGGTCTCGGTGCTGGCGAAGAGGACGATGCGGACTTCTGGGATCCGAACGCTCGGCTTGAAAACACTGGTCGACCTGCTCCTGTACAAGAGACGCCGGTGTACGTTCGGACGTTGGGCAAGCTCGTGCGAAAGCTCAGCGCGATCGCTAGCGTTGGTAGCGAGGAGAAGAGCGTGCTGGAGCGTAGCGGCAGCAACGCTTCCGCCTTGGATCCTTATACGGTCTCAGGATCGAGCGCGAGGAGAGCTAGGAGCAGAAGTCACCACTCCAGAGGACCATCTGCACCTTACGACATAGTCGAAGAGGGAGAGGCGGAGGACACCTCGCACGCTCGACCTGACAGACTCTTGCCAGGAGGTTGGAGAGGAGCTCGCTGAATGGCGTGAGGCCCCGGCTGTGTGCCGCCAGCCCGCTGGTTGTTCGCACGCATGAAAAACAAAAGATCGCTCCCCTCTCTTCGGACCTTTTTCTTCTCAATCAGAACGTTTTTGGATCGCTTCATTTTGAATCGGACACTCTTGCATCTATCTTCATTACAAGTGCCTCTCGCCTCTCACCAAAGTAGCCAACAGTCTCCAATTAGTCGAATGCGATGCATTCCGTCTCGCTGCATGTCTTGAAAGCACGTCATGCTTGACATGACAGACACCACGTGTGCAGGCGAATCGGTGTTTGTGCAGCCACGCATCTCAGGACAAGGACGAAGTGATGCGCTTTTCGTCACCTGGTAGCTTGACTCGCCACATGACACCCGGCTTCTGCCTGCGTTCTGTGCCATTGTTCCACTGGGCCTGTTTGGGCAGCTGATTCGAGTTGGCGTACAGATAGCCGTCGTCCGCTTCGAGTGTCGTGGGGGGCATACAAGTCAGCTTACGATACAAAGCGACGCGATTGACTCGAGATATCGCTCTACTCGCCTATGACGCAGCTGTCCAACCAGAAGAAGCGAGGATCGCGAGCAAAAGGTTCGATGCGGCTGGTTTCATAATTCCACCTGAAGATGGCGGACTGCTCAGGCGCGAGCAGGTAGATTGCACCGTCGCTTTCGCAAAAGCCATTTGTCTGACTTCCTTTTTGGCCCAAATTTTGGACCGCGTACGAAGCTTCGAGCTCGGCTTGATGTCTATCTGCACCGTCTGCACCGTTGTCCCGCAGCAGCACGCTGGTAGGCACTCTGTACAGGTACTGGGAGACAAGAGGGCTGTAGTAGAGCCATTGACCGTCCGGCGAAAGAGCGATCCCGTCGAACCCTTCCTTGTTGCTGAGCTCTTGTTGACCTCGAATATCGATGTAGGTGGGCACGCCGGCGTACGAGGCTCGATTGTTGTACTTGTGCAGCATGGAAGGATGCTGCTCCAATCTTCGCCACGAATGACCCGTGCCCAGGTCGACGACGATGACTGCATTTCGACCTTCGTTCGAAGAGTCTACGACATAAGCGATGCCTTGCCCGGACTCCGTCACGTTGGCTCGTAGATCGAATCGCACATCGTTCATGGACGAATCTGGAAAGTGGACATCTCCAGGAAAAGTGATCGTCTGCTCCACTTTCCCCGTCGGAGCGTCGAATCGGATCAATTTGGGCCCGCCCACGACGGCATAGGCACTTGTGGATTTTTGCCCAGCGGTCATCACCGTTGGTCGCCCAGTATCGAGCGCCCAAAGTCTCCCTTGCGGATCTGTGTAGAGAGCTTGCACGCTGATCAGCTTATCAGTGGTTTGCGTAGCCATGGTGTAGCCAGTCAGGTTGGAGATGGTCTGATTGATCAGCGATTCTGGACTA